GAAGTGCAGTTACAATTTTCCCTGACATAAAACCATTAGAAAAAAAAAATAGGGAAAAACAGCCAAATGTAGACAATGTGAAGTTCATCACATAGTATAAGGTTTTTTCTCTCGGGTTATAATCCGGGCATGCATTGTGAGATATTTTCAATCGTTGTACACATCTACAACTCAAACCGTACGAGAAAACCGCAGGGTTTAAACGTTTACAGCTCACGATACAGGTTCACATACTGTGCGACCCAACGCTCTGATACGACCAACATGACACGTTTGATTTTCTCCCAACCGCATGATTCTAGGTGATCGTGAGAGGCTGATCGCCCCTCGTTACCCCCTGTGTACTACACGACCCACAACATACGATCAGGCTGAAAGTCGGCCTGATCGGAAAGTTCTCACACAGTTGGAGAATTGGCCCCAAAAAGGGCAAAAAATTGTACAGTGTATGATTTAGTGCCCGACTTTAGTAAAAAAAATGCTATAAACATTCATCGACTATTACTGGAAAGCTGACTTGAAAAAATAGAGCTAGAATAAGTTATATTACATTTATATCAATTTTGTTTATTTCATAACCCTACAAGGCAAACAAAATTTAGACAAAGATAAAAAAAAACAAATTTTTAGGCTATAGTACGGGTATGTTCTTTTATTTTTGCTTTGTTTTGTTCTCTATTCACGGTAATTGTTACTGCTCACTTAAGTGTAGCCTTAATGAATGTTTAAGAATAACAAATAGGATTACGCTGAGGAATATTTATTGTAAAAGTTCAAGATTCTTGAGAAATTTTAATAAAAGAGAGGTTTGGGAAGAAGATGTCAGCTCCTGTTGTTCTTAAATTCCTCCAGCTGAAGGAAGGTTGAAAAATACATCAAGATCAAACACTTGTTACAATATTTTTTTACTCATTGGAAACGTGAACAATTAAGCAGGTAAAAGGTTTTTAAAAGTTACAATTATGAATTTAGAATTAAAACTGAACAATTTTTGACTTCAGGGGTGAAATGTTTGGATACCACTGATACAAAGAATATTTTACTTTTCTAGTTTCTAAAAGCGACTTTAACCTAAGGAGAGTCAAAGTATTCTATTCAGACCATAAATCTAGGAACACAGGAACAATATCTTGAAATATAAATCTGCCGCTGTCCTGCAGGTTTTAGAGGTTTCCTGCTCCAGCACAGCTGATTTCCATTGATAGCTGATTAACAGGCTTTTGCTGAACTGCAATAATCAGAATCAGCTGTGCTGAAGCTGAGAAACCTCTAAAACCTGCAGGACAGCGGCCCCTTGGGGACCGTCTGTGGAGACGCCCGTTTTAGGTAATCTGTACTGGGTTTCCTGTCTTCTGATTCTTCTTCTTCTTGTAAGGTTTTATGGCGGTGGGCAAACTAGTTAAAGTGCATTACCACCACCAACTGATAAGGAGTTAAACAAGGAAACAGGAAACAAGTCTCACCCCCAAATAAAAATTAAAACTTAGGAATATTTTTCTGAGCTGTTTAACGTAACCCAACATAATAAATACTTCATCAAATTCGTCCTCATAATCTTTAATTTATTTTTTAAGTCATCATCACCAGTTTCTGATGGTCCTACTCGTTTTCCCATCATGCTTTCAACCATTTTCCATTCTAAATCTCTAACTGCTGACTTCTACCATGAAAAGTGCAAAATTTTTCTTTTTTTACAATCCATTGATCTTCTGCAATTTTGTGTTTCCTGTCCCTCAGTGATCAAACATTTATGATGTTTCTGCCCCCATGTGGAGAAATGGTGCTATTGGAGAAAAAATGAATCTGGTGATCAGCGTCAAAAAGCATTTTCTTTGGTATAAAACACCTTAAACACCTTTATTATGAGTACTCAGGTGGTCCATTTAAAGTTAAAGTGACACTTTTTTTAAGGTTTTGTTGTAAAACTCAAAAAAGGGTTCTTATAACTAAACATAAAAATATATTTCTGAAATTAGCAAACTGCTGTATTATATAAAGAAAAACGCTTGCTGCATAACCATGTGAAACTCTTCTCTTTAGCAGCTGGTACGACTATAGATAAATTTACCAGCCTAAAGGCAACCAGAGGAAAATATAAAGAGTTCCCATCTGGGACATAAGCCACTAGTTTTGGTAGAGGTTGGAGGTTGAGGTCCAGTTCTAGGGACCGTTGCGTAAAAGACTAGGTCATTAGTAGGTGTATGTAACTAATTTAGTTTCCTGAGTCTTTAACAATATTCTGAACAATATTAACAATGTTTGTCAGAAAAAAAAGGAAACTGAAAAAATAGAAGAAAAACTGGACAAATGGTTAAATATTTCCGAGTCCGACACTTAACGAACTTAACGACCCCCCCTTTCAGACACTGTATGTATTGGGCATCACAGGCTAACAAAAGAAGCCAAACAATCCCCATTCCAAAGGGATGGACCCTTTCGTCTGTTCAATTTTGAGTGTTTTCAAAACTAAAACAAGGATTTATTGGGCTATTCCAAAAAAAAAAAAAAAAAAAAGAAAATTAAAAACAATCCACTGGCCTTTGTTTCAAAGTTTGAAGACGTTTCTCTTCACATCCAGGAAGCTTTCTCAATTCAGAATGTCAGGATTAGCGTTGAGTTCGAGGTTTTTATACAGTAGCCCAACAAAGCCTTGTTTTTGTTTTGAAAACATGCAAATTGAAACGTATGAATGAGTTTGGAATGGGGGTTGTTTGGTTTCTTTTGTTGGCCTGCAATGCCCCATACCCGTCTAATTGTCTGAAAGGTTGTTAAAGGGAATTGTTGGCCCGGCTGAATAGATGAGGTCTGCTCTCCTGTACAGGGGCTGGGACTGCGATGAATGGGAAGGGATTAACTTAATTGTTGCATTGTAGGTGTTTTAAAGCTGGAGTCCACCCCCTCTGTTTAAGGTTGGTTTAACCTGAGTCCAGAGAGAAGCTCACTGTGACACACTGCTTTTTGTATGTGTAAACTTCTGATCCCCCCCCGATATCTCTTTGAAGTCCAATAATAAAGCCAGGGGACAGAGAGATCCTGACAGAGTTGACCACAGAATTCTCCATCTTTTTCAACTCTCCTCTTCTACAGAAAAGTAACTTCTGTCTTGTGTTGGTTTATTTCTAGGACAATAAGGGGTTATTATCATTAACCCTATCACAACTGTTTGGTTTTTTCTTTTGGAAAACATTTCTCTTCAAGACCAGAATCAGGTACACGTGTCAGGCTAAGGTAGAGGTAGCGGATGTCTCACTGAAATTAAAACTCTGGTGCATGCTTTAAAAATGAAGCCCAAAAGCATTTTATCAGAAACACTGTTTGCTCTTGAGTCTTCTCATCAGAGACAAATGATCAATAATGTCCAAACGCACACTGATATCTGCCACGGTGCAGTTCTGGTGCGCTTAGAAAGGCTGTTTGGATCAACTAAATCTTTCTGTGAGAAGGAAGTTTGGCTAAACACTGCAGCCTTAATGAACAGAGATATTTATGTGCACTAAAAACTTGCAGAAAGAGCATGTTCCAGGGTTGCCAACTCCCTGAAAAAAAAGGGACACCTCATGTGCGTGCCAGCTGACCCCGATTGCCTTTACCCCTCCTGGCGTGGTGATTTTATTTTAGCCTCCCTTTGTGTGTGAAATGATTTTAACTATTTGATTGAAATCTGCATTGAATTAAATACATATTTTTGAGTAACATGAACACATGGAAAACAAGTTATTATCCAGCAAATCACTTTAATACAAATACCAACCTTTGCTGAATAAAGTAAGTATCTTAAACATAAGCCTGTCCTGCTTAACTTCAAACTGAATATATAAAAAAAACATAAATAGTGCACATTTTTGGTGCAACAGCAAACTTGTGCAAACATATTTGTGCCTTTAATGCAATGACTGTAGGCTAGAGAAAAAAGTAATAAGCTTAATGCCACATTATGTGGCGATATCCTGCTTTTTCCACTTCCTTTGAGCTCTTGCAGCAGTGAGGAGTTGTTTGTCTTTAAGTGCTGCTGCTGTTTAAGAAATATATAAGGATATGTATAGAGTAAAATTATTCATATTTTATTTTATTCTGAAACTAAGTTGATTTAAAGAACAAATACTTAAATTAAATTAATTAAAACAGTTTGAGCCACACTTTGGCGTTGTTTTGTTCAATGCGACCTGCGGAGCCATAGAGGACAAGATATCAGTAGGAGGCGCTAATGCAACTTTGTAACTTCCGTTTCTCCTACAAAATAAAAAGATAACGACTCGATATATTTCTTTTAACTGCAAATTATTTATTTTTTTGGCAAAATGTATGTTTATTTGTAAGTTAAATCTTAACGTTTCTTCAAAAGAAGAAAAACACAGAGGCTGAAAGTGGTGTTTGGTGCTGCAGCTTTGCTGGTGGGGCAGCTGCTAAGCTAACGGCTACATTAGTCGTTCTGCATTGAGCCAGAAGCTTGTAGCTCCTCTGCAAAACAGACTTATTATTAAAATATATAAATGATAAGGTTAAACAGTTGATTTTTGTTTTGTTGTATTCACTTTAGCCGTAGGTTGTAAGCTTAGACTTGTTAGCGGAAATGAGCGTGAAGTTATTTACAGACCAAGTTGTAACTTCCGTTTCCCATACAAAATAAAAGCATAACGTCTGGCTATATTTCTTTTTAAACTACATTTTTTTTTTCATAAAATGTATGTTTATTTGAAGGTTAAATATTTTCGTATGTTCAAAAGAAGAAAAACGCAGAGCCTGAAAGTGATGTTTGGTACTGCAGCTTTGTTGATAGGGCAATTGCTAAGCTAATGGCTACATTAGTCGTTCTGTAGTGAGCCGGAGAAACAGACTTATTATTAAAAAATATAAATGTTTATGGTAAACAGTTTATTTTTATTTTGTTGTCTTCACTTTAGGCGTAGGGTGTAGCTTAGAGTTGTTAGCGGAAATTAACGTGAAGTTATTTCCAGACCAGATTGTAACTTCCGTTTCCCCTACAAAATAAAAGCATAACGTCTGGCTATATTTCTTTTTTAACTGCGAATTATTTATTTTTTCGCAAATTGTATGTTTATTTGAAAATTATATCTATCGGAACCAGTTATTATAGGAAAACATTCTGAGCATTTTATGTCTTTTTCTGTTTTGGCTAGTTGAAATGTTGCTGTTTTGGTCGCTCAGGGGAACCGAGCACAGTTCATGTCGCTAGCTTAGCTATCCCAGCCTGCTAGCGAGTGATTTGCCAGCATGCTAATGGGGACAGTTTAACCGCAGCACACTGCAGTGAGGCTCTCCTGTCGGCGTCCGTAGAGCTTCCAGCCGAGCTGAAAGTCCACCGAGCCATGCGACAGTGGTCAGTCCCCACTGCGACCCCCCGCGCTGAGCCACTCCCGGGGTGCCTGTCTGTGTCACCCCCTCCATCAGGTAAGGAGGGGAACACCGGGAAGGATGAGAGGGGTTCGCTCCTTAATATTTTGATTTTAGTAGCTCACAATTTTCAATTTAAAGAACATATTTATAATACTGCACGGACATCGTGTTTAGTCTTTCCTACCTTGTTTATTTTAAAAGTTTTTGGTTGTGGGGGTCAACATCAGATCGCTTACTAAGACATTTTGCTTCTGAATTATGAGAGACGGTGTCAGATTTCTAGGAATTCTCCAAAATGACGAGTTTCCATTGAGCCAAGCAGAAGTTAGAAACAACAGATTAAAGCAGGAAGGCTGGCCATCACGCTGAGAAAACCTTATGTTAATTTATGCATCCTGGGAGGCTTTTAGTTGGATTCTACTCAGGACAAATTGACCAAGGTTAGTTTCAAGTGTCTGTGCCAAGTGTTTAAGAGGCTGCCAGAACTTTGAGTGACCCTACAGAGGAGCAATGCAGTCTATAGGCTGTATATCTATATTTATTTATTATGGGATGGGATTTAGTTGGAAGGAGGATTAGGCCAGGCTACAGATTATTTTTTTTTCTATTTCGAGAATAAAGTCATAACATTACGATAATAAAGTCGTAAAATTATGAGAATAAAGTCATAATATTACAAGAATAAAGTCGTAATAATATGAGAATAAAGTCGTAATAATATGAGAATAAATAATAAAATGATGAGAATAAAGTCGTAATAATATGAGAATAAAGTCGTAATAATATGAGAATAAAGTCGTAATAATATGAGAATAAATAATAAAATTATGAGAATGAAGTCGTAATATTACAAGAATAAAGTCGTAATATTACGAGAATAAAGTCATAAAATTACAATAAAGTCATAAAATATGAGAAAAAACTCGCAACGAGAATAGTTGTAACATTACAAAATAAAGTTGTAAAAGTAATATTACCAGAATAAAGTCATAAACTTCCGAGAATAAATTCGCAACATGAAAAGACGTAAAATTACAAGAATAACGTCCTAAAATTATGAAAATAAAGTTGTAAACTTACGAGAATAAAGTCGCAACAAGAATAAAGTTATAAAATTACAAGAATAAAGTCGTAAAATTACGAGAATAAATTCGTAAACTTAGGAGAATAAAGTCACAATGAGAATAGTCATAAAAATACGAGAATAAAGTAATAAGATTAAGAAAATAAAGTCCTGAAATTACGACAATAAAGTCGTAAACTTACTAGAATAAAGTCATAAAGTTACGAGAACAAAGTCATAAAATTATGAGAATAAGGTCGTAATATTACAAGAATAAAGTCGTAATAATATGAGAATAAATTATGAAATTTAATGCCAATTAATTGTCTTCATTTAAAAATCAATAATTTAATAATGATTTTTAATGATTTTTAATGACTCACAGTGTATAATGGAATGAATTTAAAGAAAAGCACGATTGAAGGTATTGTGGAGGACAATTTTTCCCCTTGTAATTTTATGACTTTATTCCCAAAATAAAAAAAAATCTTTAACCTGGTCCTAATACTCCATCGTATAGTTGAAGTTGCACAGCCTTGTAAAATATTCCAACCACTTTAACTTTTTCCTGAATGTCAGTCACCTCAAACACACAGATTAGAAAGGAATGTATTAAGGCCTTACTGCATAGACCAAGGTGACCAGATTTCTATAATCTAATCTAGTGACATTTCCAGCTACTAGATAAACATAAATATAATTTATGAAAATTAAATAGATACAGCTGTGCTTTAAGTTTTAAATAAGCTGTTATTATTTTGATAGGATGTAAATGTAAAGATTATATGATCCTAGTTAGATTTAGGGGTTAGGGCGGGCGTTCGGGCACAGTAAGCTTGTATGAGCTATGAGAACTTTTAAACAGAGCGTGCACGAGGAGAAATAGGCTTGTGCACGCTCTTGCACGCGCATTTTTTTTCAAGTGGAGAGTCTTTTTAAAAATTTGACAAAGTCCTCCACAATACCTTCAATCGTGCTTTTCTTTAAATTCATTCCATTATACAATGTGAGTCATTAAAAATCATTAAAAATCATTATTAAATTATTGATTTTTAAATGAAGATAATTAATTGGCATTAAAGTTCATTAAATATGATTATTGTGGCATTTTAAAATGCTTTATTTGGGGGAAAAAATGTATAAAAACAATTTTGTCAGATATATCATATCATGATATATTTGCAAGAATGGGGAAATTTCAGGAAATATATATATATGTGTGTGTGTATATGAATGAGAATAATTGGAACTTGTTGATGGCATTAACATTTTTTCCAATAGCATAAAAGAGAATTAAAAAGCATTAAGTTAGAGTTACTCATTCCTGTATAAACCCTGTTATAGCTCAAACCGTTGGTTTTACCCCTCAGCAGGAAAAAATAAATAAAAGTTGTTTTATAACAGGATTTCTGCCAGTCATTAAAAATCATTAAGTCATTGAATTAATATTTTTTTAAATACGTCCTTAATTGGCATTAAAGCTCATTAAATGCGATTAACATGGGATTTAAAATGCTTTATTTAAAAGATTTGTCGGATCTTTTATATCAGATATAAATGGTTCCGCATGGTTGCGTGTAACTGCTTCCTGTTGATCGTAAAGCCGTGTGTTCGGAAAATAAGCTTGAGGCGGGAAAAAGCAAATTTCAACAAAAGTGGCTGGAAAACCAGGAATTTGGGACATGGCTGCAGCCTGTCGACGGTAAAGATGACAAAGGATTTTAATGTGTGATTGTATAAATATATACAGGTGTGTGTGAGTCATGGGTACTTATTGATGCATTAAAACTATTTCTAAGAGCATTAAAAGAACATTAAATTAGAATTACTCATTCCTGTATAATCATAAAAGCCTCCTGAATGTTGTCTCTAACCTGTCTGATGTATTTATTTATTTATTTATTTGCATCAGGCTGTTTGTTTGTAATATTTGAGGCACAGAGAAGATGGGGCTTTTTAACTGACAGGGAATATTTAGAGTTCTATGTTTTTGCTGTGAAATATTCTGAATATTATTCTGAATACTTTTGCATTTGTCAGTTTTGCTTTATTCCCTGTAGTTGTGGAAATCCACAGAGCAGCAGAGGTGTTTGAATTCAAATGAACACGTCTTATCTGAGCTGCTTCATCTATTAATAATCCTTTGATAGATGATCAGTGTGGAGAGATAATTATAGCAGCGTTCATGTTTTGGTAACTCTTATAGACGGTCTGGTGTGAATGTCCTGAGAAATGGAGCTGCTTGTGTTTGCAGAGCCCAGGATGGAGGGATGCGAGGTGGAGCCACGCTACACCATCGAGCAGATCGACCTCCTGCAGCGCCTGCGCCTCTCCGGCATGACCAAGCCTCAGATCATCCACGCCTTGGAGTCTCTGGAGAGGCTGGACCCGGAGCACCGCCAGCCGCTCTGCGACTCTCACCCGGCTCCGCCCAACAGCGGCGCCTCGTCCTCCTCCTCTTCCTCCTCTCTCTCCCTGGCCTCCGCCACCACCCAGACCTCGGGCCTGGACGGCGCGGCTCTGTCCCCCAGCAACAGCTACGAGGCCTCGCCGCCGCCCTTGTACCCCCCCAGCGTGGTGGTGCAGCGGGCGTTCAGCTACGACATGATGGGGGAGGAGGAGTGGGACCTGGAGGAGAAGGTGGAGGAGTACATGAGGTGAGGAGCAGGAGAGGAAGAAAGGCTATTATAACATCAGATAATGACAGCTGCTGTCTCCAGAGCCACAGGCTTATTCTCCAGAACTGTAGTGGACTTAATTCAGGTCAGGTGTTCAGGGACGGCTGGAAAAAGCCGATTCTCAGCGAGGAGGTTTAGCTGGAGCTTTAACCAGCAGGTGATTTTTCTGTTAACTTTCATTTCTGTTTGCAGGAGAGACAGCAACCTGGTGAAAGAGGAGATCAAAACGTTCCTGAACAACCGGAGGATCTCCCAGGCAATCGTAGGCCAAGTTACAGGTATTCCTCCTTCCTGGTGATGTGAAAACCTTCATTTTACCTTATTTACCTAATTATTCAAGCAGTTAATCAGCTTTTTAACCCCCCTGGATGTGGAGGCTGCGGGGTTTATCGCAGCAGTACTAGTCAATCAAATTTGCTTTACCTAAAGCGGCATTTTTCTAAAGCTGTTGTTAAATTGTTGCTGATTCAAAGAAAGGCAAAGGGGATCCTATCAAGTTTAGGAATAAAATATGAGCGCTGACTGTGGATCTCATTTCCTTGACTTTATTTAATAAAACATCCTTTTCACATAGTTAATCGGCAGGTGGAATAAATATGACTATTATCTTGATTCATACGTTGCAGCTAATATACGAAACGGTTGAATTAAGAAATAAGAATAATTTCCTTCCCATTGAGTTCCGTCCCAGTGTTCACGGGGATGGACGTCTGTGTCTTCAGCAGGCGTAGAGCTAACAGAACTAGCAGCGTTACGAGGCAAGGGCTCAAACATGTACGGCTGGAAGCCTTCCAGTGTTTCCCATTAATGAATGTTCTCGTTTGGGCCCGCCACAGTCTCATTTGGTCTTTTTGGAGATGGTCAGTGGCGGTTCTACTCCCCGTGCAAGACCCACTCCAAGCGCCAGTTATATTTTTTTCGAAGCGCGCGTCCCGCCCTCCTTTATAAAAATGCCACCCCGACTGCCCGGTTCGCCCGTGCAGTGTTGCCAACTCAGCGACTTTGTCGCTATATTTAGCGACTTTTCAGACCCCTCCAGCGACTCTTTTTCGAAGAAGCGACTAACGACAATTCTAGCGACTTTTCTGCTGTCACTGGCGGCTTTTGGACGTCATACACACTCCGCTTTGTTTTTAAGAAATATAAAAAATATAACCACAGATGTCTGGGGGACAGTGATTCGCCTACGTGTTATGAATGCTGGCGTACCATAAATAATAAATTATGAACAGTTTAGTTTGTATCTTCAAGTCGTTGCCCATAGGAAGACGTTACTTGGATATAACCTAAAGGAATATCTTCAGAACAGCTCCAGAATATACAAAACTCATATGGGTGAGTAGAACATGATGTAATAACATAAAATCAAGGGGCTAGTGTAAAAAAAAACCCGGCGTTCCCCTTTAAGTGGGATACACCACTCTTAAAAATGTGCACACATGAAAACTCCCGAGGGTCAGAGACTCTCCAACCACAGTCTCTGAAAATCCTGTGGGAAACACTGAAGCCTTCACAGCAGAATGAAGTCTAGAAGCACAAGATCTATATCCAGCCATTCAGCAAAGATGCTACTACATGGCTGTACATCTTATTTTTGCATTTGACCAATTAGATGAGCCCTTGAATTAGGGCTGTTGTAAACGAATATTTTAGTAATCGAGTAATCTATCGATTATTCTTACGATTAATCGAGTAATCGGATAAAAAAATAAAATAAAATAAACTATTGGCAAATCTGCAATAACACCAGTTAGTCCAGATCAGTCCAATATCTCCTTTTTGAGCATCCCTAAAACCATCACAGAAAAATCTAAATGCAGTGAAATATTTTTTATGTATTGGAAAACAGAATGTAATCTATATGTTAGGAAAAAAATAAACTTACTCAAAATGTAAAGGTTTGAGTTTGTACAGAGTTCTGCAGCCTTAACTAGTCATGATAAAATGCAAAAATGTTGCTATTTTTATTAAAACGATGCTATTATTTATTCTTGATTGCTTAGGTATAAACAAATATAGAATTACTACAAAAAATATTAATCAAAAATTTCTATTTCATACATAACAGTAGCGAGAAGAAAAGACTGTAACTTTTCAGGATGGAAAGACATCAATAAATAAATGCTTTTCAGCTTATGCCTGTAATCTGTTGCTGCGTATTTTTATTAACAAACTTACATTAAGTCCTGTATAATTTCTCTCAGTTCCACCCTCACATACAATTTACACTACACCCGGTTAAGTAACCGCTATGTTTAGATGTAACGTTAGCAAAATAATGTGCCTCAATTTACATCTATAACATGGCAGATTATCACACAACGTAGTTAGCAAAGAGAACTTAAACGTTACCTGTTGGCAACTGTGTACGAGTTGGATGCATGTAGCGGGTGTTTTCTCTTCAGATGCTGCAACATTGATGTCGTGCTGTTGTGGTACGCCAATTCTGCTTTGCAGTGGATGCATTGCGCTGTGTTGTCCTTTCTGTTTAGCCTAAAATGTTCCCAAACTTTAGAAATTTTTTTGTCGCTTTCGGGGTTCTCCTTCTGAGCTTTCTCCGGTTCCCTCCATAGCTACAAACTTAGCACAAGTGCTCCAGGCGCTAACGGAAGTGGTAGCGTTGTGCAACACAAAAACCCTCCGGCTAGACCAGTGTGCTGCGTATTTAACAGCATTGCTTATTACAATACAATAAATTTAGCGAAGCTTCGAGGCAGATAAATTTCCTCGAGGATTTTTTGTAATCGAGTTACTCGAGTTACTCGATGAATCGTTTCAGCCCTACCTTGAATGATATATTACCTACTGTAAATTAGGTAAATTAAAAAGTAAAAAGGAAAGTTAAGAAGTTAATAAGCCTAGTTAACAATTATATTTAGGTTTATAGAGTAGCTCCGCCCAACGCGCGTCAGACACACTTTTGCACAGCGCAGGCAGAGCAGCAAAGCTGCTTCAGCCGCGCGTCAGAACTAAACTGGTACAAGCAGCAAAAATGAAGCAGCAGACGCGATTTTGCTGCTCTTGCTGCGTCTGGTTTGAAAGCAGCATTAGAACTAACCATATAGCGGCGTCTCACAAACACGCCCCTGAAATGACTTGATTTCAGTTTTCATTAAACTCACTACAGCTCCCCTCTCTTTACTCCGAGCAACACATTGAAATCTAAAAAGGAAAAAGCTCATGGATTGGAGTCAGCTGATGGAAATTTGCTCTGACAGAACAGTTTGACCCTCTGCCTCCTGTCATAAAACGTAGTGTTGATCCTCCTTCTGCTGTCATTGCTCCTAGATTATAGCTGCAGTACAGCTGGATGAAGCCGTTTCACCCTGTGATCCAGCAGTAACACTTCTGTTTGTCCTCAAATTATCCGGGTGCAAAACCTCTTTGTCTACCTGGGAAATGGAAAAAGGAGGAGTGATGGGAACTCAGATGTTTTGGCGTTCCAGAATCCTGCTTGTTGATGCTTTATCATTTATTGTTACCTTATGGCTGCTGTAAAAAAACAAAGATGACAATGAAAACAATGTTCTCTGGAGTTTATGCATCTGAACAGCGTCGAAACATCTCATAACCTCTGAACAGTTGGACCTGTGTAGTTAACTAAATGTTAAATAAAGATCTGCTAAAAGCAGAGTGTTGATGCAGGTAGCAGCCATCTTGAACCCTGATGTCAGGAATGGTCATGTTGTCCTTTCTTTTAAGATTATAATCCTGACTTTCTGGGGTTTTCCAGTTTATATTTCTAACTTCCAAATTACTAAATTGGCACAGGAAAAGGCTAACGCCTCCCAGAGATTAAATTTGTCCCATATTTGTAGATTTCTGAAGTAACTTTATCTTATCTGGGTTTAATGGTGTGATGATAAAAATGAGGCGTCATTCAGAAAGCTAAGGGAGAAAAGACATAGAATTAATCTTTGATTTCTCCCCCCAAAAATGTAATTCTTCATTAACTCCACCCCCTTTTACTCTGATATACCTTAATAAAGTTTAGAATTGATCAACAGTCCAATTACAATGATGCTAAATGACTATTAATCGAATACTAGCTCATGCCTGAGAATTTTGACTGGTGTTCGCTTTTTGTTTTTTATTAAAAAGAATGATGACGAATGATCGCGTGTTCACACCAAACGTGGCAAATTTTCCTGTCGTTGTTGACATTGATTAGAGATGCACTGATTTTGGGAGCCGATCACAGAATCAAATCCATATGTTCTTCAACTGCTGTTTGTTGTACATTTACCTTGAATTATTAGGCATCAAAATGATAAGAGATGAGAAAGTATCATGAATTGACCACTGTTTTAGTGAAGGACGCAGCAGAGACTGGCTTTTCTAATAAAAATGGAGGATAGAGAAAATAATGTTGTTTTTAAGCTTCATTAAAGAATTTTGTTCTACAAGAAGATAGAAGTACAATTTCCAAAGAACAACCACCACAACAAAAATGGTAATAATAATTAAAGAATAACTGAATAAACGTAAAAACAGTAAAGTGAAGACATAGAAGCATGTTAGGGGATTACATAAATATTTAGAATTTTGAGCATAGAGATAAAGCTTTAACAGCATTTTTGTTATTGGAAGAGGATAATGTAGAGAAATAAATTGTTGCTTCTTTTAAGAAAGAAATATATGAGGGTTTATTCATAGTAGTTTTACATTTATAATGTAAATAAATGTGGTTTAAAGCAACACTGTAGAAATGTTCACACCATTGTGAGCTTAATTTGAGATATATGAAATGTTTTCTGTAGATAAATACAGTCCCTGTGGTGTACAGATGCTGCTCTGCAGTGTAACTTTAGATGGTCGCATCCGTCACTGAAAGAGTCATGTGACCCAGAGCGCCACTTCACCCCCCTCTGAGCTTCCCTTAAACAGAGCTAAGGAAGCTAAAAATTGATGTTTAGGCAAAAAAACTGGATCTGACCTTTACCTGATCAGACATCTTTCTGCTTCTCTGATGTAGGTTTTAATCTAAGGGGTGAAGATGGCCTTGAATTTACCTGGAATTCCTTCGCCTCTCGGCCTGCTGCTCCAAGGTGGTCTGCTATCAGATCCCAAAACACAAAGATCTCAAAACACAGAGAGAGACTTGTTCGTTTTGCCACATTCTGGTAGTCCTGTGCAGAACCTGCTGGCTAATCTGGACCCAGCCTGGTTTAAAACATTTATGAATAACTGCATGTTGTCCGATGTCAGTGTCTAACTTTGCTTGTGCTGCTTCTCCTGTTAATACGGTAAAGCCCTCCAGTGCGTCCGGCTCCAGGCTACACGTGATACAGAACAGCCAATGAGCTGCTGTCAGTCTGGGTTGCTGCTGCTGCTACTTTTAGACACAGCAGGCAAACCTGTGGCAAGCCGGGAAGACGATGAGAAAGAGAGCAGAGAAAGTGTGGACTGCTGGAAGAACTGTGGTGAACTGGTGAAAGAAAAGTGAAATGGTGCTCAAAGATGACCCTGCACATTTAGAGGATGTTTGGCTCAACCTGCTGCTGTGAAGCAGGATTCTCCACCATGAACAGAAAAATCAATATGGATCCAGGCTCAAAATGAGCACCTTGATATGTGCTTTAGAACGGCTTAGTCTCCATTCGAACCAGGTTTAAAGCCTTGCAGGGCAGCATAAAGCCCACTGCTCTCATTAAGCTAGGGTGATCAGATTTGTGTTTCTGAAAAGGAGGACACTTTTTGTGGAGGGCTGCTGACTGGACCCCCCACCCCACCCACCCATTGTTGTTCTCTACTTCGGGGAAAAAAAATAAAAAATATATATATACATATATATATATATATGTATATATATATTAGTGCTGTCTAAATTATCGCGTTATTATCGCGTTAACGCAAGGCCATTTTAACGGCGATATTTTTTTTTACGTGAGATTAACGCTATGTGGTTTTATGGTACAATTTTCCAAGTACATCCCGCTGCAGCCTGCGAGAAGGCGGGGCTATTTCCCCCCAGTCTATGCATTTCTCATAGGCTTCGAGAGCGGAGCTCCTCAAGGAAAAAAGACGCTCATACACTGGGTGACGCTAGGGCCTTTTCTTTAAGCCCCACCACCAACAAACAAGTTGAGTGTCTGGTAACTAGTAGCAACCTGAAATACGCTGAGAAAACAGATTACTGAGGTGAAATGGAATCTGCTACGGCGCACTTGCTGTCCTTGTACGCCACAGGTCAGTATCGTGTGTGTGTGTGTGTGTGTGTTCTCATTTTTGTTAAGAGGCTGAAAAGTAACATTCTAGAGCATAGACTACCTCCATCTAGTGATGTCGGTCTATTGATTTTGATGTATTGATTGAAAATTGTTCATTATTATCTTGGTTAATTAACATCTAATGTTAACTGTACTGCATTTTATAGCAGTGGTAAAATGCTTGTCTTTGTTCAAAACACTGTATTAACTGTAAAGACTGTCTTTTACATCAGCCTGTTTTCAGGGCCTTTTTTTTTGGCTACATATTTGTTATTTTTTGCTACATGCCTCCCCATCTTCTTGCCATATGTTTCTATGGCATAAATCAGTGTCTGTGACCTGTTCTCATTTTAAAAAAAGAACATTGGCACAAACCTAGCCTGTATGAATTTTTTGTATGTCATCGAGAGTATTTAAATGATTTTCAATCAGAAAAAAAATGTGTGATTAAAATGCGATTAATCGCGAGTTAACTTAGGCATTGATGCGATTAATCGCGATTAAAAAAATTTAATCGATTGACAGCACTAATATATATATATATATATATATTTTTTTTTTTTTTTTATTCAATGTATAACATGGATGCATAAACCTCATTTTATTTCAGTGTTAAATTCTGTTTAAAGTAACCGATTATAATTAAAAATGTCTTCAGACCTTTACTGGTTAACGGAGTATAAATTAAACAGAATCATAACAGAACAGGGTAAACTAGAATCTGCACACTAATTTTTAAATATAGTGCAATGGTGATAAATAAATTCCAAATAATGGAATGACTCTGAAAATGAAACCCTATATGAAATAGAAACTAAATATCAAATATTGTTACCACAGCTGTGTTGCTGTTTATGCAGCCATCACACCTGATGAGGTGAGACGTTTTGCAGAGGATGCTGGGTTTTCCACATCACTCACGTCTCTAATGGGTCTTTTTGTCGGATATGAGGTAAAAATGAACAAAGAAGGATAATTATAATTATGTAGAATGAAAACGGAACCAATAAAGCTTTTAGTCTATTAATAAAGGCTCTAATAATAGATGTGAGGATGCTTTGTCGTTGTTAATGGATTACAAAGATAACAAGATGTTCTTCACAAGTCAGCGAAGTGCAGCGCAGTAAAACCAGAAAATCCTTTTAATAGATCGTTAGCATCGCAGCGGCTTCATTTAATTAACAGGGAGATTGTTGATCGCAGTGGAAACGATTCGTCTGACCTCTGTGTGCAGGAATCAGCCAGAGCTACATCTCCCAGTGGCTCCTTCAGCAAGGCCTGGAGATGAGCGACTCCAAGCGCAGAGCCTTCTACCGCTGGTACCTGCTGGAGAGGAACAACCCAGGTGAGGCAGACATGATTCCCATGGGGGGGTTAAATCAATGCAAGCTTGGCAGCTGTGATAAATTAGATCATTCAAGCCTTATTAGGCAGAAATAAAACGCCTGGTGTTTTGTATGACCCACTCATCCTCCTGCATGTTAACCCCAACCCCCTTCACCTCCTCTTATCCCGTTCTGCGAACTCCCAACCTGCTTCTTAAGGGCTGCGAGGTCAAGGAAGGACTCTGGGCAGATCTATGGTTTCAGAGGGAAGAAAAAGTGAAGGCAGCCCTGTCACTGGAGATTCTGATCGATAAGCCCTCTGGTTAGGAAATGAAACTGTAATGTATGAAGTGGGTTTGTTTGCTGCAGCAACAACCCGGATCACTCCTGACCTCTTCATGTCCTACAGAGCTGCTGCTTGAGCAACAAAACGATGCTTGTCTTTCCGGAAGCTCGCAGCTCTTCTTTGTGTTGGTTTTTAACAGCATGCTTCCACATTTTTTATTTTATTTTATTTAGTTTTCACACCATAAAGAAACAAGTTGTCTGACAGAGGATCTGCTGTCAGTCTTCGTGTTTGCTTTTTTTAGCCCCCAAAAGCAAAGCTTCTTGCTTCAGCCCTGCTGCCGGAGGAACTCTGGTGCTGGTTTTCATCCCTACATGGCTAACAGTCTTTGACAGCAATACTAACAAAGAATGAAGTTATTTCTTTTGGAGCCGATAATGGCTGCTGTCCTTTGCTTCTCACTTAAACTCCTCTTGACCTGCTCTGTCACCATTCGGTTTCCTCCGTTTCAAAAACCTTTTAATCCGCAAACAGACTAAAGATTCTTGAATGTATTTGGGGATGGATTGTGGAAACCATATGGCAGGTCTACAGGAGTCTGTTAAAGAACCACAGACAGAGAACAAAACATCAATTCTGCCTCCACATCTGGTGTCTAATCCAACCGTGGCCTGCCTGACTATTGGTTTTGTCCCAATGAAGGCCTGAGGTGGAGTGAAAGCCAGCACAGCGTGAGTCCCAGGGCCAGGGGAGGTGTCAGAGATGGAACGGTAGCAGGGGCGAGCGGCAGCCTCCCCAACCCCAACACCAGCCTGCTGCCCAACCACAACCCATCGTGGAGCAGGCAGAGAGAGCTGCTGATGCACCTGCTGCCGTGGTACACAGCCGCCGCAGCGGCTGCCCAGAGCCAGCCAGGTAACGCCACCCGGCCTCGGCGGCGAGCTGCAGAGGACGTCTTAGCAGCTGTAATCATGAAAACACTCGGCATGCCTAAAAAAGGCATGGAACTTTTTTTCTTTAGAACAGGGCCGTACTACGGAAGCGTGTTGCGTTCACCAAAGAAAAAAATTCTGACAGCTGATCTCATAATTACGAGAAAATATCTCGTAATTACGAGATCAGTATCTCATAATTACGAGAAAATATCTCGTAATTCCGAGATCAGTATCTCATAATTACGAGATATTATCTCGTAATTATTAGAAAAGATCTCTTAATTCCGAGATCAGTATCTTGTAATTATGAGATAAGCTGTCAGATTTGTTTTTCTTTGGTGAATTGAATACTCTTCTGTACCATTCAGTCATGGCCAGTTTCAGTGTGTCTAGAGCAGCCTGGAATCGGAGCAGTAAAGGCTGGTTTATGCTCAGAAACCAGGTCGTTAGCTTGTGTCACAGTGAACGCAAATGTGTCCCCGCCCCTTCCGCAGACACTCTGCTGCAACTCTCCCAAATTGTAGGTGACCACAGACAGGAGGCCTCTGATTGTTCAAATCTACATCCACTCTACTCTTGGCGTATTTCCTGTTTGGTAACTCAGCAGCTTGTTTTGTTTGTATGACCACCATTGTGGAAAACGACTCGTTAAGATGGACTAGCTAGAAGAGCGAGGTGCGCGAGAACGCCAGGATCGTGATTGTCCCTCTTGCGTTGTGGAGTAGAATAACAGCGCAGACCACGCTTCAATATTGGGCATAAATCCAAAATATCTGCGACAAGCTCACTGCGACACACTGCTGCGGGAGGATAATCAGCCCTTAAAGCTAACGAATCCAACATGACGTGACTTCTCGTCATTACTGCATCAGATCTAGCAGTAGCAGCTCAATTATGGACTCAAACTAAAAGCATTTCAATCTGTAATGAAAGTCCACACTAACCCCACTGACTCCCGCAGCATCAGGAGAGTCTTTTCAATCAATGGATACTTTGGACCTGCTTTAAGCTCCAATCCATTTTCAACAAATTACTTAGAAAAGCCCTTAGCAGACATTAGATGCATCTCAGGAATTATAAAGTCATCGGTCTGTTAATAGAATAGTTGATGGTTGTGGATTATTTACTTTTCACTGCATTGTAGATGGATTGGTTAATTTCTCTAATAGGTCAAAGTTCTCTGATACAATCTATAAACTTTTACTGCATGGTTTTAAAGCAATGGCCTTAAATAGAGAAGGGTTATTCATGTTAGCTTAAAATCACTAAGTATAAAATATACAGTTTTACTGGTGATTTTAAGCTGATACTCTTAGAAATGTTAAAACATTTGTGGTGGCTAGATGTAAAAAAACAAACAAAAACAACGCAGTTTGAGCGGTAGAATTAAAGACTGAAGAACCCCCAAAAACTTCTTCATATAAAAATAAAAATCTGTGTTGACCATTTCGGTTATGTTTGACCAGCAAACAGTTGGGTTTGTTCTGCCTTTATTTTAAAGGGTTTCAAGTTTAAAGGAATAAAGGTTTTTTTTTTTTTTTTTGTTTTTTATCAAACAAAATTGGTGTCTGTTAATTCCTCGACATCTGTGCTGCAAAAAGTTGTTATTGATGATAGCTTAAAGGTCAAACGGTCAATCAGGCTCTCCACAAACTGAATAAAACCCAAATGGTGTCAAAACTTTCTGCTATTTTTCTGCAGAAATTTTCGTTTGTGCCGCTATTATTTTGAAGACAATTAAAAGCTCTCACTGGTCAACAAATGGTCACTCACCTTTTTCAGATTAAACTAATTTGCCTTCAGAGATAAAAAAATATATTTCTCTGAGGCATGATGTTGATGAAAGGGTATGTGCAGCTGAGAACGTAAAAAAGTCACCTCTGAGATTATTACTAAATTACACAAGCTATTTATTTATTTTTTTTGTATGTGCAATAATTTAGGGTGTGTGGGTAATCTAAAAAGATTGTTGCACACATTTTTAGATGTAAATTGGTTTGGGTTCTACCCATTAAATGGAGCAGATTGTGGGATCTACAGGCATTTAGGAGTGGCCATTAAAGAAAGATGAGCTTCTAAGCCATGAAATTGGAGGTAATAATGATAGAAGTTATTTAAAAACTACTAATTTTAATACTAAATAATATTTGCAGAGCACCTAACAAAGGTAGCAGATAACTGCAGCAAACAAGAGTTAAGAATCAGTGGTGCCAAAAGTTCACCCATTTGTTACTTAAGTAGAAGTATAGATACTGCAGTTTAAAAACACTCTGGTAAAAGTTGAAGTATCAACTTGACCTTTTTACTCAAGTAAAAGTGAAAAAGTATGTGCTCCAAAAACCACTTAAATTATAAAAGTATAAAGTAACTAGGGCTGCAACAACGAATCGATAAAATCGATAAAAATCGACTTTTAAAAGCGTTGGCAACGAATTTGATCATCGATTAGTTGTGTCGCGCGATTATTGCTTCATCCGCCGCGCCGTCATCACTGCCTCTTGACTGAAAGAGGAAGAAAAAAAAATACGGCAGAGCGAGTCAGCGCCGCAGGTGCAGTGTTGCCAAGTCAGCAACTTTTCAGACCCCTCCAGCGACTATTTTTCAAAAAAGCGACTAGCGACAAATCTGCCGACTTTTTTCGGTGTCACTGGCGGCTTTTAGAGACTCTTAGTGAAAGCATGTATCGTTCCTACTCTGACGTGGGGCGCCTCCCCCACCCCAACCGCGTTTTCCCGCAGGAGTCCCTCTCAGCGCTGCAGTCAGAGCCTCAGCGTCCAGACTGCAAATGAAGCGCGCATGCACTGGGATTGACGGCGCAAATTGATCACAATAATTAAAATAGCCTGCGCTTTGTAAAGCGAAAAAAATGATAACATGCAACTTTTTTCAAAAGAAATTAACATGGCACGGAACCACCATGTTTGTTTGGTTTTAAAGTGGGGAAACGTAACGTTAGTTTCTCAGGTAGCTCATCTGATGCTTTCCTTACCGTGTTAGTAGGTTACAGACAGTGATAAGGTTGGCTACTTATTTTACTTTTAATTTCATTTGAATTAGCTTAAGCAGCGTTTACATTTACTTTATAAATAAATTAACTTGCAAATTATGAGGGCAAGGCTTTTAAAGTTTAAATCTTCTGGCAAAGATAAAGTAAAGAAGATCCTGCAATTTATGGAAGTAAAGCAGAATAAAATCCAGCAAGATCATTAATATGTCAATTAATTATCTGCCACATTCCCATGTAAATATCTGTCTTTGGAGGATGTGTTTTTTAGCACCCCTAGTTCTCTCATTTTTATTCCAAATACAATTTATAATTTGAATCACAGGGCTATTTTTATCTCTATGGTTCAGTATTTTCTCAAGTAGCAACTTTAACTGCTATACTTTCCAGTCTTAAAAGGCAGAACTCTTCTAGTCTAAAAAAACTCATTTGTTGAAATGGGGGGACCTATTGTTTGAACCCCTTAGGGGCTTTTAAAAACAAAAATGCCTGTCTTTTTTGCGCTTTATGAAACAAAGTACCCTATATTTTGTGGATGTACAGCTACATTTCTCATGTGAGTTTGCGTAGTTTTAACACAAACATTTATTTTTCATATTGCACCAGTACAGTTAATGAGAAACCTGTACTTGTGTGCTTGTTTGTTCTGTCTAAAATGTTTATTTTGGAATAAAGAGGTTAATGTAAAAAATATTTTTTGTCCGATTCATCGATTAATCGAAAAAATAATCGTCCGATTCATCGATTTTTAAAATAATCGTTAGTTGCAGCCTTAAAAGTAACCTTTTGAAAAAAACTGCCGGATGCCAGTATGTGGATTGAAAGCAACATTTTTCGACTATCTTGAAAAATTCTTTGAGATAGGGCCAAGGATGAGGAAGATCTTGTTGGTCTCCATCTCTCGATACGCTCTCGCCTGTGTCCGACCTTTCAGACATTTCTACATCTTTTTCTGAATCCAGCATTGTAGCATGGCATAGACAATTCCTGTTTGCAGTTTGAAGAACAAATGCTTGCTTCTGATGATTTCCTTTAGCTAACCAATGAGTGTTTGCGTTATACGACTCATTCAATTACACTAGTTTTCACTAGATGTGGATGGAGCCAATGATCTGCATTGGATGGCGCACATGACGGGAAATAAATATTTATAAACATTAAACTGAAGCCAAGAATAATGAGTAACGTTTGTTTTAAAAATGTAAGGAATAGAAAGTAAAGATACTTGTGTGAAAATGTAATGAGTAGAAGTCAGAAGTAGGAAGAGAAATAAGTAATGGAGTAAAGTATAGATACCTAAACAGTGTACTTAAGTACAGTAACGAAGTATTTGTACTTTGTTACTTGACACCTCTGTGAAGAATACAATGATGAAAAGCACTAAAGTTAAATATAAAGACAAGAAGAAATATAAAACATGGTAAAGTTGTGAACAGTATTGGTACTGAACCGCTTTATCTGGATAAAGGGCTAATTTGGTCTACTTTTCTATATTAAAGAAAAGTGTTTGTGTATTTTTCCTGTTGTTAATTTCTAATGTCTTTGTTTCATTTTGCATATTTACAAAACTTACATGTGATTCTGTAAAAAAAAAAGATGTTCCATGGTGGGATTAGAAACCTGATTTTTTTTTTTTTCCCCAAAATTAATAAAAAAATATAAAAATTCTGAATACTGAAACTAAGTTGGAAATTTAAGTATGGTGACAACTCTACTTAAAATGGCCGCAGACCTTTAAAACACAACCGTGCTTTGTGCGCTTTGTTTTTTTAAATCGAGGGATGAAAAAAATAAAGTTTCTTTCTCCAGTTTTTTTATAAGTTGAAACTTAGGTTAAGCAGTCCCTCCAGCAGGTCTGTTATTTCCAGTGACGTGCGGTGAGGTTCATAGCTGGTGAGGCACTGACGTCATCAGAATCAGATTTGCAAATAGATGCATAGATTGACAGCAGTTTACAGGTTATGTTTCACTTCTGCATCCTTACACATACAAACTGTAGCTCACAAAACACACATTTCCTTAAAAAACAAAACAAAATAAATGTTATTACTGTCTTACCTTTACTTATAAATGAATAGAAGTCCTCCTTATCTTCCTTCAGTTTTAAAAGTCTCTCTGTCTCAATGGAGATCACTGCCAGGGAAGAAAGCCTTCCTTGATCCGTCCTGTTCCTGCCTTATGTTTTCAGTCTCTTGAGCACCCCCTGCCATGAGGCAAGAGAACTGCCTGCCTCACCTCGAACTTGTTCTCTGCCGTTTATAATCGCTCATTACACGAAACACGTTACACAAACACAGTTGGTGACAAAAAGCTCTGTACATTATATACATAAGCCAAATTATTAGAAATAAGTTCACATATTACATTTGTTTAAACCATTTTATTGACGCCGTACAGCAACATGCTCTCTCCGCTTTGCAGCCAGCGCAGAGCCAGGGGTTGCGCAATCCAAGGTGAGGCAGAGCTCGCTGCTGCCTCACCGGCATCGCTTCCAAGCATTTGAATGGGAAAATAAGAAAATTCAGCGATTTTGAACAAATAAAAATCGAAATTGGTGAAGCTACATGAAAAATGAATATTTTTTAGTACAAACCACCGGATGAATAAATACTTTATGATTATATATTTTCTTTCTTTCCATGATGGCTGGTGAGGCACTGCCTCACCTGCCTCCCCTGACCGCACGTCACTGGTTATTTCTGCACAGATTAATTTAATAATGTTCTCTGCTTCCCAGGCGCGACCTTGTCCATGCGCTCCTTGGTGAAGGAGGAACCCGACTGGAGAGCAGGGATCATAGGCAGCGACAGAGTGGGGATAGTGGGCGCTCCTCTGAGGCTGCGCAGAGGAAGCAGGTTCACCTGGAGGAAGGAGTGCCAGTCCATCATGGAGAGGTAATCGTTATATTTATGGTGTTCTGGAATTATAGGTTAATGATGTAAAAACCTGAACCAAAATGGTCGCTGCAGTTGAATCAAGGATCTCCAGGATTGGCTATTATTGATCCCATTTCACTTTAAAACTTCCAAACTCCTCCTGCTGATTTAAAGTTGAATTATTATTTTTCGTTCTTTCCAACCAAATGCGAAAAGTTTTGTGTGAATTCTCAATCATCCGGCGCAGTGGTTAAGGCGCACGATCCATGCACAGAGGCCTTAGTCCTTGACGCGGGCGACCCGGGTTCGAATCCAGCTTGATTGTGTAGTTATGTAACACATTGGTAGTATTATTATATCATATTAACTTTTATCAGGAAACTCATAAATTATTGGCAGCTAATGACAGCAGCAGGGACAATAGTTTTTAAAACACAGGGCTTTGGGTTCACGTTTATAAAGCCATTTTTCTCTCATCAGGTTGATCTTTGGGAATTAATAAAATGATCAGATCAGAAAATCTAACTCCATTCTAATTTCTACACATTCTGGAAAAAATATAATTTATTTTCAGGCAAATTTTTTTCCAAATGGTTCCGTGATTCCTTCCTTCCTTCCTTCCTTCCTTCCTTCCTTCCTTCCTTCCTTCCTTCCTTCCTTCCTTCCTTCCTTCCTTCCTTCCTTCCTTCCTTCCTTCCTTCCTTCCTTCCTTCCTTCCTTCCTTCCTTCCTTCCTTCCTTCCTTCCTTCCTTCCTTCCTTCTCTGTGCCTTAATCTCGTCTTCCATACTTTATTTCCTTTTGGGGTTTTTCTCTATACTTATTCACTTTGCATCATCTTTCCTTCCTTGCTTCCTTCCTTCCTAGTTTTTTGTCATATCTTGATCAACCCAGTTTCTTTAACTCCTTACTAACGTCCTTCTGTTCCTTCCTTCTTTCCCGTCTTTCTTCCTGTCCAATAATCACCCATTATATTATATTGTTTTCACTATTTTATGACTGACGAGGAAAAATGTATTTATTTTTATTCTAAATATCATTATCAGGCCTTGAATTCTTAAAAAACTGCTGTCCACCTCGTCCTCTTCTTGAAAATGGTCTTCTGAAATAAGTCAGAGTGAATAAATAAGCTTTAAATGAGGTAGAATGATTTTTTATGCATAATTTTCTCTATTTTTAAAGGGGAATTTAATTTTTAATGGCATTGTTTGGACTGACCTTTGAACCCTTAAAGCCAGAGAAGGTTCCCCAGCTTGTCGCCCTCCACTTCCCCTGCTTCTCTTTATCACATTGGCCTGAGATAGAGATGCTGACAGAAAGGAGCAGAGCCCCGCTGAGTACCATCGATTTCTCTATTACACGGTCGGCGTCAGCGCAGAGCAGTCTGGGTTCTCCCTGTAATAAGAGCAACAGACAACCGTCACCAGCGGCGCAGCGGCATTACGCAACTGTGCTGCAGTGCTGCTTGTTACAGGCTGGTTTAGATCCAAGGACGGTACAGCAGAGGTGAAGATGATGTGGTGAGAAAGAGAGGGAGGGGTGGATGTAGAGCACTGAGGGGAATTGATCCAAGTTGGCTTTGTAATGAGAGACGATGCTTTTTAGTTACAGAAAAAGGAGATGAAAATAAGGAAAAAATAGTATAAAAAACCCGTTTATTGGATTGCATTGATGTGTTTTAGAAATAAAAATGAAGCCACTTAATATACGTCGGGTATAAAAGTGATGAGGTGCAGAAAGTATGCATCACATCAGCAGAATGACCTAATTAAAGTGTTTCTGGAACGTCTCTTCCAGCTTCTTCATGGAGAATCAGTACCCAGATGAGGCGAAGCGGGAGGAGATCGCCAGCGCCTGTAACTCTGTCATCCAGAAACCAGGTTAGCAGATCGTCTTCACGCCTCAGATGTAGATTTCACCTAACGCCTCTCGTCTTTATTCTCTCCTCACACAGCCGACAGAGAACCGTACAGGCGACATAGGAGAAAAGCAAACATTCCTTTAATTCAGTTGGTTTTATTGGAAAAGAAAAGGCCCCTCCTCCAGTTGCTCTGCAGAGGTTTCTCCTTCTGCACTCATGTAGATTTTATATATTGTTTCCTCTGCCTCAGCAGGTAGATGTGATTAAAGTTGTAGGAAAATCATATTTAAAAGTCAAATCTGGCTTAAACATGTATATAAATGTATTCTTTATCAGATGCTATGGTCTCAAAAGTTAGAAATTTTCTATTTAAAAAAAAAAAAATCCTGTCTAAAAAAATTTTTTATTATGTTATACAGGCTAGTTAGTTATACATGTTAAATTGGTGAGTAGTAGTAGTGTAAGTTTTTAACCTGTCAAGTTTTTTTTAGATTTTTAACATTACAATTTATATTTTTCCAAGCACACAACAGTTTAAAGCAAAGTTTAGTTTGAAAAGAATGTGCAGGAAGGATTGAAAAGCATGTTAACACGGTAATGTAGGCTTGAGTTCATTATCTGACGCATGCATATACACACCAGGAACCTGGAAACTTACTGAATTACAAAAAAACATTTAAAAAACAAACATGTTTCATTGATATATATACAAAAATGAATATTAGGAACTATATTTATCAAACATTATACTGGGCAAGTAAAAATTGTTTCTGGGCAAATGAAATGTGAAAGTCACTTGCCCGAAGGGCAACCCCTGAATCATATATTAACAGTCATCTGTTAATCAAATTTTTTCGGCCATAGCATCTTGATTCATATGTCGCAGTTAATATACACAAAGGTTGAAATGCAGAGTAATTGTGACCGTTACGAGAGTAACAAGAACAGGAGTACAGACTCGTGTTCTCGCTAAGTATGTTCTTGAGAAGAACACATAAAAGTCTGGACTCAGGGAGAACAGGAGCACGTAGCATACATATCGATCAATTGGAACAGAAGCGTTCTCGTGATGTCATCACACGTTCAGCTCGTCTAGAGCTGCATTTCACTTCCTGGTATTAATAGTCTCTTGATAATAATAAATTCTGACTTTTTTAATTTATTGGGGGAATAGTGAACACAGTCAGATAAACGCTGTGAAAACTAGACGCTTAAAACTATAATGCTCTCGCCTCAAATGATCTTAAACGTACTTTTATTGAACAGCAGCAACAGAAAAGAGAACTTTTAACTTAATACTCTGAGCTCTGTAAGCGCTCCATTGAAAGGAGACTCGTCCACGACATCCGACACAAAACTCTCCTCATTTTGCGTGTTTCCTCTGTCCATAGCGTTCCTTGACAGTGTCGTTGCCAAAGGTCAATTTATGCTTCTGACGCATAGCCTCTGCAACTGTCAAATCTGTCCGACCACGGCCCCTGCGAAGAAGTTCTACAACCGTCGTCACGCGTGTCAAAATATTACTGACTACACGATGGACGGTCGCAAACGCGTGCAGAACTCAAGAGGAAGTGCGCCGATAAAAAGAAGCTGTGATTGGTCCTTTGTATGCTTTTCCAGCTGTCTGTGTGGTCGTCCCTCTGGATTCGGTGCCGGGGAGCGCCACTTTTAAAAACCGAGGAACAACAGCAATGGACAGCTATGACGAATGGTTAATCAAGGACGTTTGGAAGTACAACCATAGGGCTGGGTACCGAACTTCGGTTCTTTTATGGAACCGACCGAAATGCTTCGGTTCTACCGAGTATCGAAACATGCCTCGTCTTTCGGTACCAAGTTTCGGTGATTGGCTGTAACACTTAACGTGATTGCGTCATCCAGGAAAAATACATAGGTGGTCCCGCCTACAGCCAGGGTTGATGTGTATCTGTTGTGAACTGGTTGTGAGCGTCGCGGAACCCCTTTAAAATGCACCCCAGGTCAAAAGTGCGGCTTCACTTTATTAAGACTGATGCCAATAGTGCGCAATGCAATACATCGTGCACGGAAACAATTTAAGAGCAGAAAGTTGCTCGGTGTTTGACTGCAAGAAGAGCGGACCGCAGCCAGCGCGACCATCCTCCTCTCAGCAGCCCGTGGGCGGAGCAAAGCCAGAGCGGAGTGAATCATGCTGCTTTCAAAGTGGACGCAGCAGGAGAAGCAAAATCACGTCTGCTGCTTCCTTTTTTGCTGCTTGTACCAGCTTCTGACGCGCGGCTGAAGAAGCTTTGCTGCTCTGGCTGCGCGGTGCAAAAGTGGCTCTGATGCGCGTTGGGCGGAGCTACTCTGTCCTTTATTTGCCTTGCAGCTATATTTGCTGTGATCAGTGGGAATAAAGTAGTTTTATTATGTTTTTAAGTGGGAAAATCCACCTGAAAACTTAATCAGTACAGTCAGTTCATCCTGCCTTCCAATATTTCTGTGGGAGCCGCTCAGACCCCCACATACCAGCAGTGCACTGTCAGTAGGATCCCATTCAACGGGCTTGTTTGTCAGACATGGTAATTTTTCTAAAGTAAAACTGCTAAGTAAAAAGGTCCTCACAATGTAACAGTGAATATTAGACACTGATTATTTTTTTTTATGTAAGAGGAAAAATGTAAATGGAAAAATCAGAGCTTAAAATAAAACTCAAGATTTGTACTTTTTTATGTTGAGTAATTTTCTTTTTCTTCAAATTGATATTATAAAACTGGTATCGAAAAAAGTATCGTTCAGGAACCGGTATTGAAGTGAAGGTATCGGTATTGGTACCGGAACCGAAAATTTTTGAACAATACCCAGCCCTATACAACCACTTGTACTTAAGACCACTTGTGCCTCAGACAAATTATATAAAGATGCCAAGGTCTCTGCCTAAACAAAGTTCTCGTGACCATCCGCCGAAGTTCTCGCAACCTCTTGAATAGGCCCCCCCTTGCGCTTTGGTGGGAAACTGCTGTGCGTCCCTAGAAATTCCAGATCAATGGTGCAGAAAACTGGTTGGCGACCAGACCCAAGCGACATTTGATGTGTGCGGTTGCAGAATCCTAATCTGCCCTTAAGTCACCAATTTAGTGCTACTTCGTCCCAATATACACTCACCGGCCACTTTATTAGGTACACCTGTCCAACTCGTTAACACTTAATTTCTAAGCAGCCAATCACATGGCGGCAACTCAGTGCATTTAGGCATGTAGACATGGTCAAGACAATCTCCTGCAGTTCAAACCGAGCATCAGTATGGGGAAGAAAGGTGATTTGAGTGACTTTGAACGTGGCATGATTGTTGGTGCCAGAAGGGCTGGTCTGAGTATTTCAGAAACTGCTGATCTACTGGGATTTTCACACACAACCATCTCTAGGGTTTACAGAGAATGGTCCGAAAAAGAAAAAACATCCAGTGAGCAGCAGTTCTGTGGGCGGAAATGCCTTGTTGATGCCAGAGGTCAGAGGAGAATGGCCAGACAGACTTCGAGCTGATAGAAGGGCAACAGTGACTCAAATAAGCACCCGTTACAACCAAGGTGGGCAAAAGAGCATCTCTGAACGCACAGTACGTCAAACTTTGAGGCAGATGGGCTACAGCAGCAGAAGACCACACCAGGTGCCACTCCTTTCAGCTAAGAACAGGAAACTGAGGCTACAATTTGCACAAGCTCATCGAAATTGGACAATAGAAGATTGGAAAAACGTTGCCTGGTCTGATGAGTCTCGATTTCTGCTGCGACATTCGGATGGTAGGGTCAGAATTAGGCGTCTACAACATGAAAGCATGGATCCATCCTGCCTTGTATCAACGGTTCAGGCTGGTGGGGGTGGTGTCATGGTGTGGGGAATATTTTCTTGGCACTCTTTGGGCCCCTTGGTACCAATTGAGCATCGTTGCAACGCCACAGCCTACCTGAGTATTGCTGCTGACCATGTCCATCCCTTTATGACCACAATGTACCCAACTTCTGATGGCTACTTTCAGCAGGATAATGCGCCATGTCATAAAGCTGGAATCATCTCAGACTGGTTTCTTGAACATGACAATGAGTTCACTGTACTCAAATGGCCTCCACAGTCACCAGATCTCAATCCAATAGAGCATCTTTGGGATGTGGTGGAACGGGAGATTCGCATCATGGATGTGCAGCCGACAAATCTGCGGCAACTGTGTGATGCCATCATGTCAATATGGACCAAACTCCCTGAGGAATGCTTCTAGCACCTTGTTGAATCTATGCCACGAAGATTTGAGGCAGTTCTGAAGACAAAAGGGGGTCCAACCCGTTACTAGCATGGGGTACCTAATAAAGTGGCCGGTGAGTGTAATTTACCATTAGGAACCTTCTAGCACTAAGTTGCTAACTGGTTAGCAACTATGCTACGAAGAAACCGGCCACAATCAAACTTGCTTGCAAACCTTCCTCCACATCAATCCTGCCCTCTTAAGTAAACGACCAATCACAATCACTATATTCACTCGTGCAAAGTCGTGCACCACTCGGGAGAATTCGGAACTGCAACAGTTGGAACGGCCGCTTCCCTACGACTTTACTTTCAGATTTAAAGTACTGACTCTGGTGAAGCGATGACATCCAGCAGCGGTTCTTTACTTAACTTTAGTCTTTTCTTTAAGCCTCAGGGAGGAAGCAATGATGGTAAAACAAAGTTTACCCCAGTTTACACATTAGAACTGAAAACTCAGCTGGTCTTTAATTATTTTAATTTTCACCGCAGGTGTACAGAAGTACCCAGCTGACACAACAGGTTCGTGATTTAGTAAAAAAAATAGTGACGCTAAACTGGAAATCTTGATAAAAGAAGCAATTCCCTGTTTTTTTTTTTGGCTTTTAGGGGCTCATTTACCAGCTGTGATGTCAAGCATTGAGAAATCCCCATGGAGGAACTTAGAGATGGCCTTTTTAATGGTTATAAGAGCCTTACTTTGACTAGGCCGTTCATTCTTCTCTCTCTTTTTAGCATTTCTGTTAAAGATTTGCTCTTGATTGAACAGCAGGCTGTTAGACAGGAAGGCTTAGCATCCACCACGAGGCTCTTAAGCGCACAACTTAGCCTCTCATCTTTTCTTCCCCTTCTGTCTCTTTTTGTTAGGATTATATGTTGATAAAGATATTTGATAACCATAGATGTGTTGTAACTAGCTACATTCATTCAGTTCCAGTAACTTGATTAGATTTTTGACGAACATTTCATTTTAGGAGTGATTTTCCGGCACCGTAATTTTACATGAGTAATATTTTCATAAAATATTGCTGGTCTTACATGAGGAAAATCTTGACAAATTTTACTGAATAGCAAAAACAATGGAAAAGGAACACAATGTTTATGTTAAAATACTTTCTTTTTTCTTTTAAAGCTTACTTTAGCCTACTAGGAAATTTGGAGATCAAGTAAATATACAGTAGGGAGTAAATATTGACCGCTTTCATCAGGATTATGTTAAAATAGGTCATTTGATTCAAAACTGTTAATTTGATTTTTATTATACATTTCTTTTAATTATTATGTTATACTCCTTAAATTTCAAGAGTTTGCCCATAACTTAACATTTCTTTCCATCTTTATTAAATAATTTTAAATATAAGATGTTATGATCAGTTATCCATATTGCTTTTTTATGTATTTTACTCACAGCTTCTTTCAAAATCAATTCTTTTAGTAATTGATTAATCAGTCGATTCTTTTCGTAATCGATGAATCTGTTGATTCTTTTACTAATAAACTAATCTGTCTATTCTTTTAGTAACCGATTAATTTGTTGATTCTTTATGTAATCAATAAATTTCTCTGTTTTTTTAGTAATCTATTAATCTATCGATTCTTTTTGCCAATAATCTAAAAAGAAAAACTTGAGGTTAATTCACATTTCTAAATAAATTAATGTTCAGAATGAAGAAAAAAAGCTTTTATTGTGCATTTTTTATTAACTTTAAAAGCTATCAATATGTAAAAAAAATATATATACAATACATATACATGTAATGATGTGTAAATAATGCAAAGATTTTTTTTTATCTAAAATGGAAAATAATAATTTCCATTTCAGATTGTTGGAAGTTGCTTCTGTCAGTGATGTTTTGTCCTAATTGCTGCTTTAAGCAGGTTATCCTTTCAGCAAATGGTATTTTTTAGAGTCTTTGTATCATTACTCTAATAGTAATGATTTGATTACCAAATTAGTTAAAATTTATTTTTTTTATATTTGATTAATCCTTTGATGCATATTTGAGTAGTTTCTTGGAACGCTACTTTAACTTGAGTAAAATCATGATGAATTATTGTTACTTGGTTACAATTACTGGGTACTTTAACCATTTCTGTTAATATATGCAGAGTCTAGAAAAAAAATCTTCAATCTTCTGTGGGTCTTTTAAAATGTTTGAGTTTATTAATTAATATGACAAGTAAATCCTGCTATTTGTATCTATCAGCACATTTTAGTAAATATTACTTGTCAAAACCGGTAAACATATAAACACAAATGTCGCCCATCAGAATCAGGTGATCCTATTTGTCTTCAGGCTGTAAGCTGTCTGAGTTTGAGCGGGTGACGGCACTGAAGGTCTATAACTGGTTTGCCAACCGACGGAAGGAGATGAAGAGAAGAGCAAACATAGGTGAGAGCAGCGGAGCTGAGAGGAGCTGGGCCAGCGTTTCAGCACAAGCACACCAACACTCTGTCCTGCTTTGTCTCTCAACCAGAAGCTGCCATCTTGGAAAGCCACGGGATTGAGGTGCCAAGTCCGAGCTGCCACTCAAACGGCGAAGAGGGAGAGCTGCAGGAGTTCGTGGATCAGGTGCCTCATCGGTTCTCTGAGCAGGTGTCTGAATAAGTCCTTCATTTCAATCTTTTTTTGCATACTTTGCTGCATCAGTGGGGTGTGGCATGAAGGCGACCAGCATGCGATTCTGCTGAGGACTTGAAGCCCAGGTAGCTTGACAGCTGCCTTCAGGTCTTCAGTATTAACAGGTCTCCATTTCACTCTGGACTTAAAGGAATAGTACACCCAAAACATGATTAGCCTTCATTTTCTACTCACCCCCATGCTGAACAACACTCTGGAGTACTTTTTTGATATCTCAAATGCATCTGGAGATCTGGGAGGCTTCTTGCTGTCTGCTGACATTCAAATAATGGAGGTCTATGGCGCCCGAGGCAGAAAGGTCCATAAAAGTCCACAAAAAACGTGTCAATATTCCTCCATACTGCTCGTCCAATGTATTCCAAGTGACCTGAGTGGGTAGCGTCCATAATTTACTCGAAACGAAGTCATTTAGAATGTTTTTAGAGCATAAACAGTAGTGTATAGGATTTCCTGAAAGCGCGCACATGCGCGATCACGACGCTACGGAAGCCGGCAGACCAAACCAGATGAAAGTGCGCATTCAGCTCGGCAAAGAACTCATGCTCTTCCTCAACACTGAAGTCCTCAGACATTTTTCTTTCGTTGTTTCTTTCTTTGCACAGGTAAACAGCACATTTCTTCTTCTACGCTTGCATTATCGGCAGAGCAGACGCTGAATGCGCACTTTCATCTGGTTTGGTCTGCCGGCTTCCGTAGCGTCAGGAACGTGCAGGCGCGCGCTTTCAGGAAATCCTATACACTACTGTTTATGCTCTAAAAACATTCTAAATGACTTCGTTTCGAGTAAATTCTGGATGCTACCCACTCAGGACACTTGGAATACATTGGACGAGCAGTATGGAGGAATATTGACACGTTTTTTGTGGACTTTTATGGACCTTTCTGTCTCGGGCACCATAGACCTCCATTATTTGAATGTCAGCAGACAGCAAGAAGCCTCCCAGATCTCCAGATGCATTTGAGATATCAAAAAAGTACTCCAGAGTGTTGTTCAGCATGGGGGTGAGTAGAAAATGAAGGCTAATCATGTTTTGGGTGTACTATTCCTTTAACTACAAAGATTTTATAGTCGGTCAGTCATATTGGTTGGTGGATGTATCTCTTTCTCTAGTTACATAGAAAAAATTACTTCAGTCTTCCCGATCCCTTCCTTGCGCTATCATCGCAACCCCAATTCCTTCACAGGGGAACAGAAGACCTCGCCTGTTCAGCCAGGCCAACAATTCCCTTTAAAGACCCCCATCCCAAAGGGGTGTATCCCTTCGTCCGTTTGAATTTGCATGTTTTCAAAACAAAAACAAGGCTTTGTTGGGCTACTGTATAAAACCTTGAACTCAAAGTTATTCCTGACATTTTGAGATGAAAAAGCTTCCTGGATGAGAAGTGAAACGTCTTCAAACTTGGAAACAAAGTCCAGTGGATTGTTTTTTTTTTTTTTACTTCTTTGGAAATACTTCAATCTCCTGTGAATTATAAAACAGACACCTTTAAATGACAATTATTTAAATTCTTTGTTGTTAATGTTAATTGTTAATTTTGCTTAGTAAGAGAAGTGAATTACATGGGGTATAAATCGGCTAGCGTCGAACTTTACGAACCACTAATATAATGTATAGCCGTTTCCAAAACTGTGTTTGTGCGTTCTCATGTTCTTGTCAAACGTCATCCGCCTCAGCCCTAGAACTGTTCCAATTCACAAGAAGATGGAGAACAGACAAAGTCCCCGGAGGTTTTTCTCACCCCTCCCTCTTTATTTACCCAGCATGCATCAGAGCAGACTTGAGATTGACAGCTGTCCCAGCATGCTCTACGGCGGCAGCAGCTTCCAGTGTAGCGCACATAGAGCTCAGAGTATTAAATCAAAAGATCCCTTTTCTGTTGCTGTTGTTCCATAAGTATGTTTTAAGATCATTTAAGACGAAAACATACTTTTAAGCGTTACTATATGGCCCATTTACCGAGGCTAACGGCAGCCCGTCTGCAGCAGCCCTTGAAGTACTGCTGGCTTTGATGGCAAGTGTTTTGTTTTATTTGAAAAAATGTTCATTTGATTAAAGTTGATCTGACTGTGTTCATTATTATTCCCCCAATAAATGAAAAAAGTAAGAATTTATTATTATCTAGAGACTATTAATAACAGGAGGTGAAATGCAGCAGGCATGTGGTGACGTCATCAGTATGCTTCTGTTCCAATTCACCCATATTTATGCTGCGTGCTCCTCGTCTCACCAAGTCCACACTTTCCTGTGTTCTTCTCAAGAACATACTTGGAGGGAACACAAGTCCGTGCTCACGTTCTTGTGAATTTAGAAACGGCCTATGTTGATGTTTTTCAGTGGCCTAGTCAAAGATCTGAGCACAAGTTATAAAGTAATTTAGTTTCCTTTTCCTTCCACTTTAAATTCTGTGGTTCTCTTGTTGTCCATCCTATGAAGTTTCTTATGAATCCACTCAGTTTTTATTGGTTGTAATAAAGGAAAATATGGTTAAGTTTGTGTTTTCAGTTGCCTGGCATAAAGTCCTCACACATCAATCATTACAGCCTAACACTGTTGTGCTTTAGGCTCCGCCCGCTGAGGAGATAAGTAGTTGCAGCCATGAGGCTATGTGTGTTTTCTGATCAGTGTGATATGCTGGGGCAGCAGCAGAGTGCGCCAGCTGCACATAATGGTTTTAACAAGCTGAAAATAAAAGTCTGAAACTTTCCAAACTGCTGTGTACAGAGTAGTATCAAACTTGGCCATCTACTTACCCTCTGCTTCCCACAGGAGGAAACCACTTCCCAGAAGCTCGTCGACCAACAAGATCGCCCCTCGCTAACCGGGGAGGCGGCGGCTCCCCCGCAGAGCCCCGGCTCTCGGGCCACAGAACAGAAGGAGGAGGATTCAAAGAGGGAGTCTGTGGATGAGGAGTGACTGAACCCAGCCGCACTTTTCAAATCAGCATATCTGGATTTTATTCAGCGTGAAACAAGAACAGTAAATCCCTCCGGCTCGGCCCGTGTGGGACCTATTGGGGCCGGAGGAAAGCAGGGCTTTGAAGCTCTGAGGTGCCTCCTATGGTGAGGAGGCCGACGCATTTATCAACAGTAAATAATCCCGCTTATAATAATGGCAATATAAAGTTTATCTATAGGTATATAAGGTCTAAGGTATATAAAAACAGTATATAGCACATCCCGAGGTGGTATCCAAAAGCCTACACCTTGTAAAGGGCAGCGTTACGTTCGGGACACCCTCACCATTTCAACATCAGTGTTTCCTTTTTTACTTTGCTTCATGTTTAGTGGCTGCTGGGTGGGAGATTATGAGCCTGCAGGTCAGGTTTGATTGGCTGTTCAGAGGAAAGTGTAGCTTCTTCTTACTGAGGTGTCTTTGACCCCACCTGCTTTCCTGAGTTGAATCAATCAGCATGTGCTGTTGACACTAAATCTGTAAAAAACCCAGAGGGATAATTGGAATCTCAGGTAAACCAAAAAGTGACAAACTGCACCACATATGTTTTTTTTTATTTTTTTTATTTTTAGTCTCTCTGTGTTTTAAAAACACTGTTTGAGCTACTTTCTGTTGTTTTTATTGTGTATGAGACTAGAGATGCTCTGAGAAATCATCTGCTGACCAAAAGCTGACAATTTACAGCTTGATTGAACAGGAAGTGCAAAACGCTGTCGCTTCCTGTTAGCAATAGAAAATAGGACGAAGAACCACACTCTAGTTACTGTTGGAGACGCACTAATTGGTTTTAATTATCAGTCAGGAAGCTAAAAAAAAGAAGACACAGAAATATACAAAGCTTTAAAATTGACCTCTCTGTAGTTCATAAAAGCTGCCAGAAAGAGAGCAAGACTTTCAACAGATAACAGAAAGGCTAGGGGAGAACGACTCCATATCTTTTTCCGGCCAATTCAAACTCTTAAATTCTAAGCATCTGAGGGAAAATTTCACAGCGAACACTTGATAAAATATTTTCATAGCTTTTCTACTTCTTTTTAATGATATAGTTGATATAAATTGTCGACAATCCCCTTTGAAGCAAATCGGACAGAAGAAAAACCATCGACTATCACAGTGTTTAGGCCTTCATTAGATTGGAGTCTTGTCAGATTGCCTGGAACTTGACCTTGTTTTCTATGTCCTGTCTAAATTGATCAGATCGAGAGAACAAATGGTGTCCACTTTCTGTTAAAGTCCTTTTTTTGTTTGATAATTTTGACAAATGCTTGTTCTCACACTGATGGTGTAAATGAAACCCCTTCTCCTCCTAATCTCCAATTCAGTTCTACTCAATTCAGAAATACTGAATTGATTCCAAAATACCATTAATTGTTGCAGTAACTCGTTTTTTTCCCAAAAACTTATTGTATATGTTGAGAGCTTTATGCTGGAACAATCTTTTAGGGATCTGTCTAGCAGGGGATCTGGAGATGCCTTTGAAATGCACTTGTCCTTGCTAAGGCCCATAAAGTTTAATGGAAGAGACGGCTTGAATCTCCTCCTCTATTTTCCTTGATCCTGCTCTGCGTCCTCGCCGGCTCCTTTTTCCAGAACTTGTGGAAGTTGCTAAAATATTGTTTCAGCTTTTCAGATCTTAACCCTGTATAGGCCACTCAGTGAAATACTTTGATAATCAAAATTTCAAGCCAATAGTGTTATTGGAAATCCAGGACAAGACATTATTTCCTTTGTAACATTCCAAAAAATATGGATATCTTGATGGAAAAAATGAATGTCAATGTAATGACGAGAAACGCCAACTTGCCCAAATAAAATAAGAAAAATAACAAAAGGGCTTCTATAAAAAATTATTGGAAAATTTTTTTGAGGCATTAATGCTGATATTGGCACTACATTTTTTAGTTCACAAACCTAAATATAATTGTTAACTAAGCTCATTAACCTTTTAACTTAACAATTAATTTTTTACCTTTTTTCTTGACTTGTTAACTTTTTTTCAGCTTAATTTACAGTAGGTAATATATCAATCAAGGGCCCATCTAATTGGTCGAATGCCAAAATAAGATGTACAGCCATGTAGCAGGATCTATGCTGAGTGGCTGGATATAGATCTTGTGTTTCTAGACCTCATTGAGGGGGGACTCCATTTATAAGGGATATGCAAGTGATCAAAAATGGTACCTTTTCCTATAAAGGGTTTAATTAGCTGCCTACAGGTGTTTAAAAAAAACAAATCAACAACAATTTGCTATGGTTGCGCATTATGACAACATATTTACAGCTGCAGAGCACTTAAAAAAAGAAATTTAGAAAAAAGAAATCCTTTATTCACAAAAGAGGAATTAAAGTACCTTGTTAAATGGCCAAAAAACTAAAACTCTGACCAGAGCATCTCTAGGCCATACACCCCCAAGACAATGTATCTAATTCTTATTACACTCATTGGTGCTGCTTTATGTTATGTTAGTCTAGCCAAAGAAGTTGGCATGGTTACACTATATGTAATCTTTTTATGTATCTATTAATGTATATCGTTTCAGAAACGCTAAAACTCCCTTGTGTGGCCGGGAAGGCTACCTTCTCTCTTTACTGGGATAAGCTAAAGCTTTTAAGCTCCTGTAAGTTTGTGCAAACCAAAAGTGAACCTCACTCTAACTGTAATCATCCAGAACCTGACTGGAGTGTGTCCACCTAGTTATAGCGCCACATTTCCACACCAAGGCTGCAGTTTTATCTTTTAATCGTTCTTATGAAGAACAATAACTCTTTATTCTCTAAAGGAGCCACCATTGTTGCCTCCTGATGCCAAAGCTATGCCAGATAAAGCTGATGTACAGACGCTCAGTGCAGGAAGTAGGCCGCTTAGCTCGGTTTCGACACTAGCCACCTCCAGCTTACCTCAGAGCGGCTGCACTACGAGCATTTTCCAGAAAACACTAGGAAGCGGGACTGTTTGTGCTCTGGACAGTGTTATGTAGCATTTAGGGCGGTGAGCTTTGTCTTTGTTCTCAGTATCCAATCACCTCCTCAGACGGCTCCTTTGGAAGGGGGGGGGCTCCCCAAAGCTGCTGCAGTTTCTTATTAATACGCTCCTCTGTATAAGCTTTTACCTGATGAGGGGGAAACACCAATAAAAGTGTACACAATCACAAAATCTGTGCAGTTTCTTAAGTTATTCTTGAATACATTTAAAGTTTTTTTTTATTAGAAAAGATGCTTGACTTTCAGTTTGTAACAATGATGATGGGTTTTCTTATTAATACAGAAATATCAGGAACGGTTACACCGATTACAGGTTTCTGACGATTACTGATTTTTTCTTAAAAAACCTGGCAGGCTGATATACATTGGGGCCAAAAGGTATTTTGTCAGCCTTTGATTGTGCAAGTTCTCCTAGTTAGAATAATGACAGCGGTCTGTAATTTTCATCATAGCTACACTTCAACTATGAGAGACAAAATGAGGGGGAAAAAAATCAGGAAATCAGGATTTTTAAAGAATTTATTTTTAAATTATGGTGGAAAATAAGTATTTGGTCAATAACTAAAGTTCAACTCAATACTTTGTAACATAACACTTTTTGGCAATGACAGAGGTCAAACATTTCGTGCAAGTCTTCACCAGGTTTGCACAGACTGTAGCTGGTATTTTGGCCCATTCCTCCATGCAGATCTCCTTTAGAGCAGTGATGTTTCGGGGCTGTCGCTGAGCAACACCGACTTGCAACTCCCACAAATGTTCTATGGGGTTGAGGTCTGGAGACGGGCTAGGCAACTCTAGGACCTTGAAATGCTTTTTATGGAGCCACTCCTTCGTTGCCCGGGCGATGTGTTCTGGATCATTGTCATGCTGGAAGATCCAGTCACATTTTATCTTCAAGACTCTCACTGATAGAAGGAGGTTTTGGCTTAAAATCTCTCGGTACATGGCCCCGTTCATTCCTCCCTCAACATGGATCAGTTTTCCTGTCCCCTTTGCAGAAAAACAGCCCCAAAGCATAATGTTTCCTCCCCCATGCTTCACAGTAGGTATGGTGTTGTTGGAATGCAACTCTGCATTATTCTTCCTCCAAACACGAGTTTGGTTTTTATCAAAAAGTGCTATTTTGTTTTCATCTGACCACATGATATTCTCCCAATCCTCTTCTGGATCATCTATGTGCTCTCTGGCAAACTTCAGACGGGCCTGGACATGTCCTGGTTTGAGCAGGGGGACACGTCTGGCACTGTAGGATTTTAGTCCCTCCCGGTGTAGTGTGTTACTCATAATAGCCTTTGTTCCTTTGTTCCCAGCTCTCTGCAGGTCATTCATCAGGTCCCTCCTGTAGTTCTGGGATTTTTGCTCACGGTATGAGATCTTGCGTGGAGCCCCAGATCAGGGGAGATTATCTTTGCTCTTGTATGTTTTCCATTTTCTTACAGTTGCTCCCACAGTTGATTTTTTTTCACACCAAGCTGCTTGTCTATTGGAGATTCACTCTTCCCTGGTGCAGGTCTACAATTTTCTTCCTGGTGTCCCTCGACAGCTCTTTGGTCTTGGCCATAGATGAGTTTGGAGCAGGCACGTGCAGAGGGGGGGGGCTAAGGGGGCTTGAGCACCTGCCCCTTTTGCTCCATGATCCCAATGTGCCCTTTTGGTCCCTTTTTTTTTTTTATTATTTATTTGACACATGTACTGAAATTATTATTATTATCTTTTTTGTTTGGCAACAAAAACAATACAATAAGCACTCCGATCACATTGTTACCTTTGACCTTTTGCCGGTGACGACGCACTTGCCTCTCGCACAGTCAGATAAGGCGGCTAACTGCGGAGCTAAAGGTAGCGAACATTCCACATTACACTGTGGCCGCTGCTCATTTGGCCCTAAGCAAGATCAACCATGATCGGACGGATGGCTATGTCTTCAGTCTGCACCGCCTCTCCAATGTCAACCTGAATAGACATGTAAGTGAAACCAAATGAGCCCCATGGATGATGCAGTATTGTTTGATCTAAAACACTAGCTACGTTTACATGGACACAACTAATCGGATTGAAGGCCTGATCAGATCAAAAATGTTTCATGTAAACATGTCAGACTGAAGATTCTAATCCGATTCGGTCCGATCGGATCTAAATTTAATTCCGAATGAGAGAGGTGGTTTTTGCCGATCGCCATTCTGATTGGCGTCCATGTAAACACCCATTCGGATCTAGAGTAAAATAATCTTCACTGCGCATGTGTGCGACGTCAGCGTGACGTTTTCCGCCTTGTCAACAACAGGAAACCACCAGTCGCTCTCGCTCTCGCTGTGAACAACATGGCGGGGGGAGTCTAGGAACGCCGACTTATAAGTTAATTTAAAGCTGCAGGAAGCAGGAATTTATCCTCTTCCTCTTTTCTCTCTCCACAGCCCACTCGCTCTCCCACGCCGGTTCAATCGCTCATTCTCTACATTTTCTCTCGTACATTTCGCTGCCAAGCGCTTTTTTCCTCCTCTCTCCTTTTTTCTTTCCGCTCGCTCCGAGCGCATCGTTTGTCAGGCCTCCCAAAAACCAGACGCAGACAGAACTGCAAAGTTTGGCAGGAAGTTCTGCGCATGCTTAAAAGATTTAATCTGATCCAACGCTTGGTACATGTATACACACGTCATGATCGGATCATTTCATTTAGTGTCCATGTAAACGGAGATTTTGAATTTCCGATCAACCAAGGTTTGGATCGGATCGGGGAAATTTTGCGCATGTAAACGTAGCTACTGTTTACTCTGTGCTTTTAGTCTTTTACATTGAAAATTATGTTTTTTAATTCACAAAAAACTGTTCTGTAATGATTACAGAACAGTTTTTTTGTGAATTAAAAAAGAGTAGCGGTTTAAACGGAGGAAAG